ATTTGTTTTTCTCTGAATTTTATACTATGTTGGACAACAGAATATTTCAAATATTTATTTATTCATTTAAAACATCTTATTTTATTTTCATGTGTGTCATTTCATAAATAGAACACACACATAACCTAAAGTATACAATAAAAATTAATCCATTTTTTTACTAGTTCTGTAAAACATTCAAGAAATTGACCTGGATAGGTGTAATGGTTGATACATTGTGTGAACTTGAGAAGTTTAAGGGATTTGGCGGAGAGCTAGAGACTTTATTTTGTAAACATCCTCATCCTGTGCAAGAGAAGGGAATGGAGATTGTGTGAGTGTTACCTACACCTGCCCTCAGAGGTGGTAGCCTGCTTACAATATAAGAGATGAAAAGGGGCTTGTTCCACACTTTCGCTCTTGCTGCTTTTGCTGTCTTCTGTTGCCTTGAAGTGTTGCCCCTGGGCTATGCCACCATGCCATGGAGCCAGCTGATAATAGACTGAACTCTCCACAAATTGGGAGCTAACTAAACTTTTCCTTCATTAATTTTGGGTGTCATGTATTTTGTTTCAGCAAGGAGAGAAAAGTAACCCAGACAGAATTTGGTACCAGAGAGTGGGGTCATTGCTGTGACTGTACATGACCATATGGTTCAAGAGCCTTTGGAAATGGCTTGTGGGAAGTGTTTGCAAAGGTTCAGAGATGTGGCCTGAAAAAGTAGAGCTGGAACAACTTCAGCTGTTCTCTGTGGGAGAGTGTGGTCAGAGCTCAGAAGACCAGAAGACTGATAGAAGTCCTACTGGTAAAGGCCAAATTCAAGAGGTTTCTGCTGGGAAGAAGGACTGCATTGGATTCTGGACTCCAGATGATGTGTGTTTTGGCTTGGCAGAAAGTTTGTCTGTGTTTTGCTCATGTCCAGAGACTGTCTGAGACAGTTTAAGGGTGGTGGAGAAATTAATCTGGCCAAAGAAGTTTCAAGGCAGTCAAATATTGAGGCCATGGCATTGCTATTGTTGGGGGCTTTTAGCCAGATTTATGTTGAGAATCAAGAGCAAAGAGCCCAGCAAGGTGATTTAAAATGTGAGTTTGGCCAGGTGGGAAGCTCTAGTAAAGTTGTGGACTACAAAGACAGAGATAAGGAGATCTGGATTGCTGAGAAGGAACAGGTGAATAGAAAAGATGGCCTGAGAGCATCACCAGAAGCAGCAAGTCTCTACCCTTTGCAACCTCAAACCTGCAAAGGTGAAATACTTTGCATTGAGGAGAAAGCTGCAGAGGATCGTGTTCCAGAATGGCAGTAGCATAGAAAATTTGTTCCGCAGATTCAGAGTGCCCAGATTCAGATTTGTTCTCTGGATTCAGAGTGCCCAGCGATCCAGGCACTTGTTCCCTACAGCTAAGAGAGAGAAAAGCCAGGTACTGCTCCTGCTGGCAGCAGATTTTGGCATCATCTGTGCAGTGCTGGTTTTATGTGCATGCAGTGTGCAAGAGTTATGGGGTTAAAAAGGCTTCCACCTATATTTTAGAAGGCCTGGGATGCCAGGCATTGTGCCCCTGAGTGGGAAGTGTATGAAGCTGTGAGTGAGAAGCCAAAGATGCAGTGGAGACCCAAGAAGTTTGCAAAAGCAGGAACGTGGATTGTCTAAGTAAAGCGGCAATGAGGGAGCAAAGCGGGCCTGAGAGAGAAGCTGTGGGAGCTGTAACCACAAGAAGTGTCATAGGGATGGAGTCACTCTAGCCCTTTGGAGCTTACAATTTTGCAGACTGCTTCAGGTGCTGGACATGGAACTACAGGACTTAATGTTAGCCCTGCTGGATTTTGGACTTGCTTTAGCATCTATCTTTGTATTCTCCTGTTTGTAACTTTTGGAATGAAAATGTTTATTTTGTGACTTTGAATGTTCAAAGTGTCTAACTTTTCATTTGTACAGAGGCTTGCCTAAGAGTTTGCCTAAATCTCATAGGACACTTGGGACTTGAAGTTTTCAGCAATGCTGATGCTTTTAGGACTTTGGCAACTCTTGCCAATGGACTAAATGCTTTTGGCATAAAGGGATGTGCATGAGTCTTTGGGAGGCCAGGGGAAGAATGTCATGGTCCTCATGTAATATAACTTTGATAGACTTAATACTGGTTCTTAAGGATTGTTAAGCCTGTATTATAATGTTCAAGCTGTGAATGTTAAGATTAAGCATGTCTTTGCATCTGGAAACTGGTTTAAAGAAATGTGTCTGGTTGCCAAGTTGACAAAGGGTTGATTATAATGGTTGATACACTATGTCAACTTGAGAAGGTTAAAAGTTTAACTAAGTGGCTCAGCAGGGAGCCAGGGTCCTTTGTAAACATCCTCATTCTGTGCAAGAGGAGGGCATGCAGATGGTGTGAGTGTTACATACATCTGCCACCATAGGGAGGGCTAGCCTGCTTACAATATAAAGGAGGAAAAGAGGTTGGTTGTCTCCCCTTTTTGCTCTTGCTACTTTTGCTGTCTTCTACCGCCTTGAAGTGTTGCCCCTATACCATGCCACTCTGCCTTGGAGCCAGCTGATTACACATCAAAACCTCCACTAATTGTGAGCTCAATAAACATTTCCTTCATTAATTTTGGGTGTTGGGTATTTTGTCTCAGCAATGAGAAAAACATAACTAAGACAATAGGCAATGCACATTTCCCTGAAGAACTATGTATTCAAGATTTGATTTTAATATGTGATTGTGCATTTGTTGAAACACATGCATATACATAAATTTTTATTAATCAGAGCATAAGAAGCACATTTCATTACACTGCAGCATAGTATTTGAAAACAATTTATGAGGGAAATTAAATGATAGGAAGAATAGTTTTTATTTTTTAATTTTTTTTTCCAGTACCAGGAATTGAACTCATAACCTTGTGCTTGCCAGGCAGGTGCTGTGCTGCTGAGCTAAATCCCCAACCCCTTAGGAAGAGTAGTTTAAAAGACTGAGAAAAACAATTTGCTATAAGATAGGAAAATCCATACCATGATTGGAGGTTTCAGTCCGCACTGATCTGCAGGGTATCTTATGTATGTACGACCACAGTAGGAGGAGGATTAGGGTCATCATCATGCTGTGCCAGTTCGGGCTCTTTAGGTAGTGGACAGATGTCCAAATGTCCTGAATCTTTGGACCAAAGCCTCAAGAAAGGTCTCAGGGATCCAGAAAAAGAGCCTGGAAAAAAGCTATGGATGTGGCTTTTATCTGTCATGTTATAGAAAGAGACACTTCCATACTCATAGTCTAAGAAAATACACACTGTACTAGGGCTGTTTTTTAGAGTGAGTTTAGTTTCTGGGGAGGTGAGTGCCCAGTACTCATCGTTATAAAGCCTGATGGCCCAGAAACCATCCTCAGGGCTTATGTGAGTCTTCTCCTTCCTCCTTACATTATTGCGACAGATTCCCAGGTCCCAGGCTGTGCCGTTCTCAACCTTCACCTCCCAGTAGTGCCTCCCCGAGCTGATGGACTGGTGACCCAGCACGCAGGGGAGGGACTCAAATCTCAGCTGGCTCTTAGGGAGATCTTGAGGTTGCTCCCCCATGGTTACTCGTCTTTCTTGAGACAAGATGAGGGCAGGATGGGCTGTGTCTGGGTCCAGAGTCACATTTACTGCAAAGAAAACCAAACGTTTCATCTCTGAGAAGATTAGAGAGATGTTGAAATGAGGTTATGTGTATCAGCCTGAGACGTCTGGGACCAGCAGAGGAGAATATTCTCTCATAAGGATTCTATCCTCTCCCTCCCGCAACAACTCCCCCTGAGGTGGTGCAGAGCCTGAGAGTAGAGTCACTCTGGGATGGTCAGACTCACCAGCCTGGAAAAGTTCTTTCCTCCAGTCTGAGAAAAAGCATAAATGTGTATAATTAGATCTTATATTTGAATTTCTGGACACAAGATATAATTTTTTCTTTTTTAGCATTTTCTTTTTGTTATTTTTTTTCTTGGTAATGTCTCACTTATTCTATATCTTTTGTTTGAAATAAATTTTCCACTCCTTATCATTAAATATTCCTACAGAAATTAATAGCTCCAGTTCATACTTCCTGAGATGTAGACTGCAAGTGTACACTAGGATACAGTTACTCTCTTCTGGAGAAGTAACAAAATGACATTCTCCAACCAGCATCACTACTCCATTTAAGTGGAAGGATGGCTCTGAGTTGTGGCCATTGGAATAGGCACAGCAGTCCCCATACCATTTCTACACTTGAGAATAAAATACTTCGGGTGAATTTATTTGTCCTTGCTCTTATTAGAGCAGTGAATTACCCCGGACAGATGTAAGTTGTAAAGTGGAGTGTATAGAAGACTGGGGAAAGTACTTCTAGTATTACAGGCACATTGTGGATGAGAGAGTCCAGGAAAGACACCCAACCAGGAATAACCAGATTTTAATTTGCATGAGTAAAGAAAACTCTAAAATTGTGCCTGAGCTGTGCTTAACTGCTAACTGAGCAAAGGCAGTTCATGTTTTATAGAAATTATAGTTAATGATGTTGCTCAATTAATATATGCTAGCTTAAAATGAAGTTCTGTATTAAATGCTTCCAGTTTGTAGTCTTGATGGTGTTTAAGCAACAAGAGTAACAAAACAGAGAAAGCTGTCTGCGTATATAGTCACCCATGACACACAGTGAGAAAATCTTGTTAAAACTATACACGTTATCAGGAAAGTAGATCATGTGCCAGAACCATATTCTCCATCTAAAAAGAGATTTGGGGGGATCCTATCACGGCTCACTACAGGCAGTGTGGTGTGCAACACACTATCAAGTCTGCAGGGAGAAGCATCAGTACTTGGAAGTGACAGCATTCAGTGAAGGTATTAATGATATACTATTCAAAATAAATTGCTTATGACACAATTTTTCACCTGTTAAAAACATAAAGTAAGTGAGATAGGTCTCAGATTCAGTGATTTTCATATTCTATAAAAGTTGACTTTTTGGAGTTATGCTATGTTTAGGAAGCCAAAAACAGCTCAACATCTATTTTTGTAAATAGAATTTTACTAGAACCCAGTTAAGGCAGTTCACTCACATATTGCCTATGCTGTTTTTATGCTATGGGGACAGATTGACTAGTTGTGACAGGGACAATGCAGCACAGAAGTCTTAAAGTACTCATCTGGTCCTTTGTAGAAAATTCATGACAACTAATTTATAGAATAATCATAATAAGAGATAAAGATTAAAATTTATAAACGAATGCTGTAGTTTCCTTAATGAATATAGTATCTTAGAGAATAAAACAAATTAAAATGATAGAGTCCACAGTTACTTCAGATAGCAGCCATAAGGTGATCAGCCAGAAAGAGGGATATGTAAGAACATAAATCTGCTCGGTAAATGTGTCTGCAATTGTACTTTGGATGTCACTGTTGATGCATGAAACTAACTGGAAGGAAATACGTGAGATGCCTATAAAATTTGGAGCAAAGTAACTCAGCTTGGCAAATCCTCTCCACAAAAGACTAAAATAATTATTTTTTCAAAAATGAATGCTTTAGAGTTCTCCGAATGTGCAGTGGCACACATCAAACTCAGAAACACTTATGAAGGAACAACTATGACACATCAGAAAAAATGGTGGTAGTTTGAGCCGCAGCTTTTCCTGCAGTCCCTAAGTGAGTGGTGCTAGTTCTATCAGGTCACTCTTAACCATGAATTCCTGTAGTGTGCATGCTAACAGGCTTAAATTGAGTCAGAGACAGAGTACTGAAAAAATAGATGCTCAAGGAATATGTTAAGAGCAATAGCACAAGAATGAGACCATCTATGAACAATTTCAAACAGTTGAGGCAGGCCATCTTTGCAGCTACTATCATGTTTTATGTAGGGCCAGGCAACTGACTGGTAGGTAATACAGAGTTCCCGGAACAATCATAGTACACCTCGGTCCCCTGGATGCTCCAAATGCACACGTTTACACATATATTTGGTACAGAAGAAGTTCATGTCTGTGTGACCATCCTTGCATGAATATGAGACACTAAGTATGCAAATAGTGGGATGTGAGGAAAACTATATAACTGCCTGACACTTGAATGAATGTGCACAACAAACACAGCTTTGTAAAAAAAGGGTAAAATGTTATTGGCCCAAAATATTCAGTCAAAACATTTTATTCCTACCATTTGCTGACCAATGGATGAGTCCTAGAAGGCCAGGTTAAAAATATCACAATAATAGATTAGCAGAGACAGCAGCCACACGTTAAGGGAGAGAAGGCTATGAATGTAATCTTGGCAGCCATTAGACAAAATGAAAACATGGACAGCAACAGCAATTCCAAAGTGGAGGAACAAAACTGGAATCTAGTAGTGGTGTGACATTCCATATAATATTTATTAGTTGAGTTGCAACCAAATAGTACAAGGCATGCACAGGCCAGGAAAGCATGAAAAGTACCCAGGAAGAAAAGCAATCAGTGTAACTGTGAGGGCACTCAAGGTTGGGGTTAACAAACAAAGACCTCAAAGCAGATAAATAAATAATGTTGATGAACTAACACCGAAGTAAATGTATGGAACCAATCGTTGTTAAAAAGGGAATAAACGTTAATTCCTACTGGATTTGTAGAGAAGGTAGATTCAGTGGACTGAACAAAATTCTGTCTTCATTTCTTAGTATCCACTTTTCTTAACTTTTAAGTGTCTTATGAGACACAGGTGAGAAAAAAATCCAAAATATTTATAAAGTTATAGTTGCTAAGGTTTTTATGGAACAGAAATTAGGTAATATATATTTCTCTCTCCATTGAGCAGTATGCTATCTGACATAATTGACCCTTTGTGTGAGGGACAGTTTTTCCCTGCAGTTAGTAGTATGCTGTCTTATATAATCCAGGAGCCTACTTAGATGTCTTCAGGTCAAGGAGAATTTTCATAAAACTCAGTCACTCACCAGGGAACAAAAAAGACTTCTGCCAGCCTGCAAGTGTACAAGATGATGAGACGTCATTAATCTTCCTGGTTCTTCTCAGATCATTTTCTCTTTACTAAATTTTATTTTATGAAAAAAGTTTAAACAGAATTTCATAACAAAATCATAGGAGAATAACAATAGTTATTATGTTACATGTTATTATCTTTACAGTCATTACTCAGAGTACAAGACACGGGCATAAAAAATTCTCCAATCGGTATTAGCGCAACTTTCCTTTTCAGTGAACTAAGAGACACTAATAGTATAACTAACTTGTATTTTTCCCTTTTCCCTGACTTCTTTTCCTCTTTCTCCCATCCTAGTTCCCTTTTCCTTGGGAACAATTTCTTCCCATTTCACAATAACTATTGCACATTTCAGACCTTATTTACTCTTTCAATTTCTCACACCATGGAGCCAATATGATGTTTACACTTGTGAGTCTGATTTAATTCACTTATGAATGTTTTCTCAAGTGGCATCCATTTACCTATAAAAGCTTCACCTGTATCTTTCTTTATGATTGAATAGTACTCCACTGTATAAAACTGCCGTATCTTTTTTATTAACCCTCCAGTTGATGGGCGTTTGTATTGGTTCTAAGCTATTTCAAATTGTGCTGCTGTAAACATGGAAGCACACATATGACTTTGGTATGATGTTTTTAACTCTTCTGGAAATATACCCAGATGGAATAGTGGGGTCCAATGGGACCTCTAATCCTAGTTTTTTGAGGAATCTCCACACTGATTTCCACAGTGGTTGTACAATCTACACTCCCACCAACAGTGGAGAAGTGTTTCTTTTTCCCGACAGCCCCTCCAGCATTTGTTATTGGTTGAGTTCTTGATGATAGCCATGCTATCAGGAGTAAGATGGAATCTCAGTGTTGTTCTATTTTGTATCTTTTGAATGAGTAGTGGTTGAACATTTTGTCATATATTTATTGGCCATTTGCATTTTTTTTTACTTGGATTGAGTCTTTGAATTTGTGGGAGTCTGATTTTTTTCAATTCTTTATATATTCTAAACAGGAGTCTTTGGTTTGAGGGACAACTGCCTAAAATTTCTTCTGACTCAATGGGTTGTCTTTTCACTCTGTCAGTGATTTGTTTGATGTGCAAAAGCTTTTTAATAAGATAACATCACAGTTGTTGATTCTTTGAAGTATTTTCCATGCAATTTGGGTTATGATCATGAACTCTATCCCTACCCCTATCTTAAAACTTTCTACTTTCTCTTCCAGTAGATTGTTATTGTTTTAATATTTAGATTTTTGATGCATTTTGACTTTAGTTTAGTGCATCATAATAGAGATGGGTCTAGTTTTGGGTATGTAGAGAGCTAATTTTTCTAGCTCTATTTATTAAAGAGGCTATCTTTCTTCCAGTGAACATGTTTGGCCCGTTGTCAAAGATAAAGTGGTTGAGTGTGTTTGTAGTTATGCCTGCATCTTTTAATTCCACTGATCCTCATGTCATTTTTCTTTGCCAGTACCTTGCTGATTTTATCAGAGTAGCTTTGTAGTATAATTTCAGGGCAGGAGTTGTGATACCTCCTGCCTTGTATTCCCCGCCCCCCCCCCGAATTGCTTTCCCTATTTTAGTTTTTTTGTTTCCAAATGAATTTTAAGAATGTTTTCTGTAGTTCTTTGAGGTATGGTAGTTGTATTTTGATTGGGAGTGTACTAAATCTGTATAATAATTATGGGAGTATGGCCATTTTCGATATATTGGTGTTTTCTATCCATGAGCAAGGGGCATCTTTCCATTTTCCAATATCCTCTTTGATCTCATTTTTCAGAGTACTGTAATTTTCAATATATAGATCCTTTACTTCCTTCATTAGATTTATTCCTAAGAATTTCATTTTTGGGGATGCTGTTGTGAAGGGCATGGTTTCCCTGATTTATCTCTCAGTGAATTTGTTGTTTGTTTACAGGAATGCTATTGATTTTTGAGTGTTGACTTTTTATCCAAATACACAACTGAGTTTGTTTATTAAATCTAGAAGTCTTTTGTGGAGTTTTTGGAGTCTTCTGTGTAGAGTATCATGTCATCTGTGCATAATGATAATTTAACTTCTTCCTTTCCTGTCCTTACTCCTTTTATTTCTCTCTCTTGTAGAATTGCTCTGGCTAATGTTTCCAGAGCTACATTAAATAGGAGTGGTGATAGTGGACATCCTTGTATTGTTCCTGATTTTAGAGTGAAAATTTTCAGTTTTTGTCCATTCAGGACATTTTTTGGTGTTGGTTTGTCCTATATGGCGTTTATCAGATTGAGATAAAGGCCTTAAATTCTGTGGGGTTCTTGTCATGAATGAGTGCTGGTCCTCTTTTTTTGTCCTTGACATTCTGTAAGTATTTAGCTGCATTTTTATCTATGTGTCCCTATTCTTCCTCAAAATGACTCCTTTTCTCAACTTAAAAATATTATCTTTTTTTGAACAGAGAAATATAAAGATATATATATATATAAATGACTTATGAAAATTTAAACTAACGCTAGCAAAGGAGGAAAAAGAAGAGTAAAGAAAAAATAAATGAACAATAGAAAGAAACATGGATAGTTTGAGAAATGGAGATCTAAGGGAGGAAAAGTTCAAAGATAAATGCAAAGAAGACAGGGAAGCAATGATAGAAGAAAGCAAAAAGGAAGAAAGCAGCAGAAAGGGAGGGAGAGAGAGATACATAAGGATGAAAAGGCAGCAATTAGGGAGAATAAAGAGAAAAGAACAGAGATGGAGACAAAAATTTAAACAGAAAGAAATCAACAGTAATAAAAGTGAAAAGAAAAAAGGAAAATTTACAAAATATCCATAAAATACTTTCTCATACACATTAAAATATTCCAAATTAGAAAAAATTCAATTAAATATTATTAACTCCAACACTGAATACAGGCAATGTTATATTAGACCTGATTTTCTGCAGTGGGGTTTGAGGAGTGTAAGGTGTTTTATTATTTATGGCATTTGAACTGCGAGAGCGCTTCTGAGCTACTTACCGTCCTTAAACTGAGCTTTCATTTCATCTGAAAGGAGATGTACATGTAAGTCTGAGCCTCTTAAAGAGATAAAGATACAGAAAAAAGACATGCATTCCTCTGAGGAGTTCATCATAATCATTATTAATATCACACTAGCCAAGTCATTGTTCCTTTCTGAAATTGATTCTCTTGGAAAAAAATCAAGTTGAATCACATAATATTAAACACTTAATCAATGTAAGCAGGCAATTCATTTCTAACTTATTTCTAGAGTGGAAACTTGGCATTTCAAATGTATTCAGTTAATAATAAAGATGAAGGATGAAGTGAAGCAGGAGATTACTATAAGGATGATAGGAATTTACAAATGTTTAACTGAAAGAATATAATTACCAATTTCCTTTAGTAGTTTTTCTGAAAAACAAGTGTAAAAACTCATTTTTAGTATCACAGAAAGAAGAAAAAATTTTTTCTTGAGAGGATTACATAAAATTACATGGGTTAGTGTATTAAGATGTTAAAAATCACTATTTTTACTTAGAACACTTATTGACCAAATAGAAGGAAAGAAAAAAACATAGAGCAAGTATACAGAGATAATTCTTCAGTTGAAATTCAAGAAGGGAATCATCAAATTCTCCCAAGAATTATTCTTTTTACCTTAATTCAGAATGTGATATTTATGGTGTTGCCCTGTTATATGGCACCTGTGCAATCCCAGTTACAATTCCTCTCAGTATTTCCCATAGGTTAGGCATTTGCTAAGACTTTTAGATAACTGCTCAGTCGAATGCTGCCTAGGTGATGCGAAGCATGACTCCTCTGATTGTAGAAGAAAGATGAGAGCACTGCAGTGCAGATGTGTTAAACTCTAAAGCTGGAGACTGTAATCACTGTGCCATAACCCTTCACTCATGGAGCAGCCAGCTGCGGTTTCAGTCACAGGCAGAGAAGCTGGCCATCTTCTACACAGAACCGTCCAAGAAGAACTCTTAAGTTGTTTTCAGAATCAGATTGTGAGCAGGATAGGAATCCTGCGTTCCCTCAAATGCAATTCATACCAAAATTTCATTCATCTCAGAACCCTAAGAGTTATTCTTAGGGTTATGGACACAGGTAAAATTTAGTACAATATGTAAAGAGAAAGGTAAATGGAAAGAGTGAGTTAACGTTGGAGAAGAGGAGAAGAAAGAACAAGAAAGAGGAGGTGGAGATGCCAGAGGAGGAGGAGAAGGAGAATTAGTTAAAGGAATGTTTTTAGTGAGAAACCACAAAAATCACAGAGATATTTATAATGATGAGATGGGGGAATGGAAAAATAAGAAACTGGGATAAATAAAGATGTGAAGAACACATTTTACACATAAAATGTCATTAAAATGTACTATTCTTTTATGTAAATTGATCAGAGAAATAAAAATTACGTAGAAGAAACAAGAGCAAAACTTGAAATGAATGAAACGTAGAATGAAACAAGAGCAAAACAGAATGTATTATACAATCATTGACAGCTGGGTATGGTGACACAGGCCTGTAATCCTGCTACTCGGGATGCAGTAGGATTGCTGTGAGCTTAAGGCCAGCCTGGACAATATAGGGAGACCTTATCTCAAAAAAGTTATCACAAAATTGATATTGTTGGGGTACTTCTCTGTGCCAGTCTCTGTGGAGATGCTTTGAAAGTAGCACCACATTTATGAACTAAAGTGATCAGAAAATTAATTAGAAATATTTGTAAGAGTAACATGAGATTAGACAAAAAACACATTCCTTATTGCTTTCCACAGTTGTTTATTCCAGAACTACAATTTTATCCAGAGTGAGTTTCATATCAATTTGTCATTTATTTATTTATGTATGTATGTATGTATTTATATTTGAGAAGGACCAAGAAGAAACACTGCCATCAAAGATGTGTCTGTGAGAGCAGAGTGCAAATGAGACTGATACTCTAATATTTCCGGTTCATACATGTATACTAGAAGAATCTTAATGAAAATTAACTGAAAAATAGCTACTATTAACAATTGATTTTATACAATAAGGCAATTTGTTTTGTTTTTTTTTTGTGCTGCCTGTATTGCCCTGGGCATTATTAAAAATTAGCTTTTCATCTTTTAAAATTTTAATGTTTTATTTTTTATTTTAAATACAATAATAAAAAACAATAAAGCTGATGCATTCTGAGCAACTTTGTCAATAGCTGTAGTGGTGAATAATATTTAGATGTAAAGTTCCTTCAAAATGAACTCAAGATCCTCAGTCTCTCAGTTCTCAGTGATTAAAAATTAAGATAATGATGATAAATAATAAGGCCAGACATTATTTTGGACCACATTCAAGTAGCAGTTTATGAAAGATTTTAACTCAGTGGTTACACTGATGCAGTATTAGTGAACTGTCTTGTGGTTATTGTGCAACTTCCTAGATTACTACGATTATGCAGCAGTAAAAGTCCTATTGGGAAAATTCAAACTTGCTGTCACTGGCCCTTTGTCCTAAACTCCACAGTGCAGTCTAATGCTCCGTTACCTTTTACGTTCATTAGTGGAGAATCTGCCGTGGGCGTATATGGGAGAATTTACTCTCGCCTTCATGTCATGGTCCTCGACAAGTTCCTTGATATATGCTGATATCTCATTCATTTGGTGCCTCTCTCAGTTTTTGGGGGAGGTATGGGAAATACAATTCAGGCCCTTGCACTTGCCAGGCAGGTGCTTGTGCCACTGAGCTATATCCTCGGCCCAATCAATTTTTTTAAACTGTCATTTGTGCTTATGGCTTCTTTCTTATTTGCTTTGTTATTATTTGTTTTCATCTTCATATTGAAATTCTTACATCATCAGATAGACAGGGTAAAAGTTAAGAATTTGGTTGCTATTACTTTATGATTAAGAGACTGCATGATTCACAGGTGTTACAATTTATTTTCTCTCAATTTAATGTGATATGTACTAGTGGAGAGAAACTAAGGTACTGATTTACCCGTACTTTTTAATTATAGAGAAAAATATTTTCAGTAGAACAACAAAAACCTTAGGGCAAACAGCATTCTTCAATTAGTATATTGTGCTGTTCAATTGGTTAAAACATCCTGGAAAGGCCCCCAGAATTCAAAGCCATATTCAAAGGTAGCAAAAATATGTGCAATAATAAATCTTATAGATGAACTTCGCTTTTATTTTTTAACATCTTGTTACATTTCTAACATTTACTCAAAATGGATCAAAATGTATCAAAGATCTAAATGAAAAATTTCCCATTGTAAAACTCTTAAAAGGGAGCATGTGATACTTCTTTAGGTTCTTTGATTTGGGAGAGGATTTTTAGAAATGATAGCAAGGTAGAAGCAATAAAAATAGATAAATTGATTTTCATAAAAATTGTAAAATATACATCAAATAACTCTTACAATTTAAATACAAAAATAAAACAACTCATTCAAAAAAAGAGAAGGACTTAAAGAGATATTTCTTCAAAGAGAATAGGCAAATGAAAACAAGCACATGAAACAGTGTCCAATTTCTCTCATGGCTAGGGAGATGCAAATCATAGTTATGGTGATACAGCACTTCACAGGTGCTAGTGTGGCTTTAATTAAAATTTAAAAAAATTGGGAAAAATGTTGAAATTAGTGTAGAGAAGTTTAAATTTGTGCATTCTTAGTGGAAATATAAAGTAGTGCCATTTTCTCTGTCTTTTTTCCTATAGTCTATCTTTCTTTTGCTCTTTATCTATATATTTTTTCATATGAGAAACCCTGTGACATTTAAGCTTGTGTGTCTGAATTACTTCACTTTCCATTATGGTCTCAAGGTGCATCTATTTTTCCATGAGGGGCTCAAAAGTAGTGCCATTTTTCACAGGAAAATTTTAGCAAAATCTGTATGATCCAACATTTCCATTCCCAGTGTATACTCCTTCAAATGACAAAACTGGCCTCAAGCACATACTTGTACAGGAATGTCCATGACAGCAGTATTCACAGCAGACAAAAACTGGAAAATATCCCAATGTACGTCAATAGTAAATGGTTAAAGAAAATTGTGTATACTCATCCAGTGGAGTATTACTCAGTCACAAAGAGAAGTAAAGTACTGATACACATTACAGCCTTGTGAATACTGAAAACTTTGTAGAGGTGAAAGTAGGCAGTCACAAAATGTCATAGACCCTGCGGTGTCCTAGACATGGGGTGACCAGAGCAGATAAATTCATAGAGACAGAAAGCAGAACAGTGATTGTGAGAGGCTGAGAGTTGGGGAAGCAGAAGTGACTTCTCAGTGGGCCCTGAGTTTCCTTACCCAGGCTCTGTGGGAGCTACATGAAGGTGAGACCTGCAGCACATCGTCAGTGTACTAAACACAGTGGAGCTGTGGCTCTGGAGTGGATGCTTTAGTTTTGCATGACTTCTACTTCAAATAAAGTAACTAATCAACATGAGCAATATTCACATGACATAAGCGAACATCTCTCATGGAGTCAAGGCCTGGCCTTGTTTAAATTACATAATTTGTATACATATGAAGGTAAAACATCTACCTCCTTAAGTTTAAAATACCTTGAATTTTTTTGAACAAGTAGTAGAGAAAAATTTGGCAGTTGAAATAATAAAAGGAAAATATTTCAAGACAGATTAAATTGAAGCAAAATGCAAACTGAAAAGTGGAGCTGCACTAGAGGCAATGTTTTACTTTTTCTACAAACTGTGAAGATAAGGATGCCTTTCCCCGCTTTGTTATTGCCTAAAATTTGATTCTATGTAGTAATGGCCTTAATCAAAGTAGATCAAGATTTGAAACTCACCATGTTCCATTTTAATTTTACATGCAAAACAAATGGGAAATATTGATGAAATAAGTGAAGTAATTTATCAATGTAATCACAAATGATTACATATTATGGGTCTTGGGGCAAAGAGAATTAACTGATGGTGAGGAACACAGAGAGAGAGATAAACAGAGAGAGACAGAAGGAAAACTAGAGAGATAGAGACAGAGTACACAAATGTCTAAAGTATTTGTTAATAAGAATACAGAAAAATCACAAATAGATCTACAAAGGAGCAAGCAGTGGAAAAATAAGGAAGTAGTCATAAATTACTGTAGGAAGATCATATTTTGTGCATAAAATGTCATTAAAATTTACCATTCTGTCTTCTAAGTTTATCTGAAAAATAAAAATATATCAAAATCACAAACAAAACCAAAATATAGTCTAAGATCATTGAATTTTTGAGTGCTGCTCTGTACCAGGCCCTATGGAAATGCTTTGCAAGGAGCATCCTTTACAATCTAAAGTGCTCAGAAGACGAATTAGTAGACATAGTTGGAAGAGTAACATTAGATGAGAGGACGGACACGTCCCTTGTTGTTTTTGAAGTCACTTGTTCCACAGATAGAATTTTATGCTAAACGAGTCAGACTTCAATTTGCTATATAATTTATTTATTTATTTATATTTTTTTCAGTAGGTACCATGGAGAAACTTTGACATTATTGGTAAATCTGTGGTGTTAGTGGCTAGTGACATAGATATGCTAATATTTCTGGTTCTTTTGTATGTATCAGAAACATCATTTCATAATTAACAACCACTAACAATTGATTCTATATAATAAAATTATTCATTTGGTTTTTTGTTTTATCTGTGTGGTTCCCAGCATTATTTAAAATAAGATTTTCACTTTGTATTTTGAACAATTTTTCAGTAGATGAAATTTAGTGATGAATTAATATTTAGATGTAAATTCCCTCAAAATACAGCTGAAATCCTATATGTCTGGTTAGGTGTGATAAAAATTAAGGTTCACCTTATAATAAGATGCTAAAGCTAGCCATTAGTAAGAAGTACATATAAATTAGAGCTCATGAAAAATTTTAAAATTAACTCCATCATTACAAAGATGAACAATTACTGAACTGTGTTTTGTGTCCTGTGAAAAACATATTCTAAAATCATTGACATTCTTTGAATGCTCCTTTGTGCCAGGCCCTATGAAAATGCTTTGCCTGGAGGATCACGTTTACAATCTCAGGTGCTTAGAAAATAAATTAGTGGACATATTTGGAACAGCAACATGAGATTAGAGGAAGCACACATTCCTTGTTGTTTTTCATAGTTTCTTGTTCCAGAGCTAGAAGTTTATATGAAGTGAGTCTGACATCAGTTTGCCATGTTATTTACTTATTTCTGGCTTGGACCCTGAAGAAACAGTGACAACAGTGATACATCTGTGGAAGTAGAGTGTGAGTCTGACACATACAGTTATATTCCTGGTTTCTGTGTATGTAGTAGAAGAATCTTGTCATCATAAACTGCTATTAACAAGTAGTGATATAACAGAATATTATCTCTCTATAGGATGTGTGAAACTTCCAGCATTATTGAAAGATCACTTTTCACCTTCCATTTTGAACCTTTTGACAAAAGCTGAGGTTAATAGTGCATTAAAATTTGTTCATAAATTCCCTTCAAAGTAGACACCCTCAATCTCTGGGTGTGGTTTGATGAAAATTAAGCTTCATTGCAAGATGATAAGTAATAAAGCCAGATATTTTGGAGCACATCTAAGTAGCAGCCTATGAAAGATTTTAAGAGCAACTCAATTGTTACAAAGATGAAGTATTAGGGAACTGTATTTTCTGTGCTGTGCAGCTTCCTAGAGTACTAAAATTATGCACCAGTGGAAGCCATATGAGAAAATTCATCAAAGTGGATTGCCTTTTACATTGATGAGTGCAGAACCTTCCGTGGGCTTATATGGGAGAATCTACTTCCTTTTTCATGTCATGGTCCTTCAGAGTAGCTCCGATATGTGCTGATACCACATTCATTTGTTGCCTATGAACAAAAGATAATTTTCAACTATCTTTTGTGCTTATGGCCCCTCACTCTCATTCTCTTTGAATTGCTCGTTTTTATCTTCATAATGAAATTCTCACATTATGAGATAAATTCGGAAAAGGTAAATGTTATAATTCTGGTTGCTAATTATTTTTCCTTAATGTACTTTAATGATTCCTAGGTAGTACAATTCATTTTCTTGTCATTTATTTTAATATATGATAGTGGAGAGAATATAAAGTATATATATGTTTTAATATTAGAGAAAAACTTTTGAATTGGTGACAAATACTTAGGGTAAAGGAATACTCTTCAATTACCAAGTTGTGATGTCCAAGGAATTAAAATACTGTGAAAATGCTTTGAGAAAAATTTGTGCTTAGAAAACACATCTTCAGTATTAATTCATATAAATGAGTGTCTCATTCATATTGTTAGTATTCTCTTATACTGATAGTATTTACTGAAAATGAAGCCAACGTAGCTCAAACATCTCAGTGAAAGAGTTTGGAATGATAAACATCTTCCAGGTGCACAATCTGATATTTCTCGCTGCTCTTTGGTTTTTAAATTTTACTTTATTTTATGGTTTTGGTACCAGGAACCAAACTCAGGACTTTACTCTTGCCAGGCAGGAGCTTGTGCCACTGAGCTATATTCCTGGCCACCCTTTGATTTTAGAGTGGAATTTTAGAAATGATAATGAGGTAAGAGCAGTAAAAGAAAAGTAGATAAATTGAATTTCATAAAAATTTGCAAAGTGTATGTACGACAATGAAGTCTTGTAGCTTAATTACAATGCAGTAACAACTGAAACACATACTTGTATGGGAATGTTCACTGCAGCAGCATTGACAATAGTAACAAGCTGACAAAACGCCCAATGTCCATCATGAGGCAAATGGTTAAAAAGTTTCAGGTATTCTAGTTGAGTGGCACTCAAACTCAGATATACCAGTTGGTTGGTACTCTGCCATGAAAAGATAGAAAGTATTGATGCATGTTACAACATGATGAATCTTCAAAGCTGTGTACACATGAAAGAAGGCAGACTCAGATGTTCACAGATTGAAACATAGTTATGAGGAAGACGGACCAAATAAATTCATAGACAGAGAGAAGATTACTGATTGTCAGAGGCTGAGTGCTGGGGTAATTAGAAGTGTCTTCTCAGTGGACCCTGCATTTAGTCATGCATGAAGCCTCTCTCTGGGAGCTACATGAAGGTGAGTGTTGCACAGCACTGTGTATGGGCTCAATGTCATGGAATTACATACTTTAGAGTGGATATTTTAGTTTTGTATGAATTTTACCTCAAGGCAATCAATAGAAGCAATCTTCAAATGAAATAAGAGTGCTTCGTGCATGAAATCAAGAACTGGCCTTGTTTAAATCGCTTAATTTGTATGTGTGTCAAGATAAAACATCAACCTAGTTTGGTTTAGAATGTCATTCATTTTTCTGAACAAGCAATTAGAGAAAAACTTGGCAGTTGAAAAAGCAAACAGGAAAAATTTCCAATACAGATTGAATTAAAGCACAATGCAAGCTGAGTGATACAGCTGCACTAGAGGCAATGTTTTATTTATTCTACAAAAAAATGAACATGAGGAAACCCTTTGCTTCTTTGTTATTGCCTAAAATTTGGTTCTATATAGTAATATTCTTAGTCAAAGTGGATCAACATTTGAAACTCACCGTTTTCCTTTTTAATTTTACCTGCAAAACAAATGAGAAATATTGATGAAATAAGTGAAGTAATATATAAATGCAGTCACAAAGGATCAAATATTAGGTGCCTTAGGGCAAAGTGTATTAACTGATGGAGAAGAACAGATAGAGATAGAGATAGAGATAGAGAGAGAGAGAGAGAGAGAGAGAGAGAGAGAGAGAGAGAGAGAGAGAGAGAGAGAGAGAAATGGAGACAGAGACAGAGAGAGCAGAATGTTTAAAGGTTTTTTAATAAGAATACATAAAAGTTGCACATAGATTCTTCTACAAAGGAGCAAGGAGGACTGGAAAAATAAGAAAGCAGTCATAAATAATGGTAGGAAGATCATAGTTTGTACATAAAATTCACCATTCCTGGTTCTAAGTTGATCTGAAAAGTAAAAATATACCAAAATCACAATCAAACCAAACCAAAACATATTCATTATCATTGATATTATTTGAGATTTTCTCTGTTCCAGGCCCAATGGAAATGCTTGACTAGGAGCATCACATTTACAATTTAAAGTCCTCAGAAAATAAATTAGTAGACTTATTTGGAAGAGTGACATGAGATTAGAGGAAGTACACATTCCTTGTTGCCTTTCATATTTCTTGTTCCAGAACTAGAAGTTTATGTGAAGTGAGTCTGACATCAATTTGCTATGTTATTTATTGATGTTTGGCTTGAACTCTGAAGAAACAGTGACAAGATCAATACTTCTGTAGAAGTAGAGTGTGAGTGAGACACACACACTAATATTTTTGGTTTCTCTGCATGTAGTAGAAGAAACATGTCATCATAAATGACAATTAATAAGTTGTGATTTTACAGCACAGAAGATTCTTTCTCTGTAGTACCTTTGTAACTCCCAGCATTATTAAAAAATAGCTTTTCACTTCCATTTTGAACATCTTTGTCAAAAGCTGAAGTTAGTAGTGCAATAAAATTTGCATGTAAGTTCCCTTCAAAATAGACACACTCAGTCTCTGGTTGTGGCTTGAAAATTAAGCTACAGTGTAAGGTGATAAGAAATAAAGCCATACATTTTGGAGCACATCTAAGTAGCAGTCTATGAAAGATTTTAGATGTAACTCAATAATTATGAAGAACACATATTAGTGAATTGTTTTCTATGTGTTGTACATTTTACTACATTACTAGGATTGAGCAGCGGTAAAAGTCCTATGGGAACAATTCATATCACTTGCTGTCACTGGCCCCTTGTACTAAACTGCACAATGCAGTCTAACACTCCATTGCCTTTCCTTTTTTTGTCCATTGCCTTTTACACTGATGAGTGCAGAACCTGCCATGGGTTTATATGGGAGAATCTACTTGTTCTTTCATGTCATTGTCCTCAAAAGTTGCTCTCATATGTGCTGATATCTCATTCATTTACTGTCTTCTCTAATTTTTAAACTGTCTTTTGTGCTTATGGGCCCCCCTCTCATTTGCTTTGTTATTGTTTATTTTCATCTTCATTAAGAAATTCTCACATTATCAGATAATTTAGAAGGAGTAAAATATTAAGATTCTGGTTGATAGTCATTTTTCATTAATGTACTGTATGGTTCCTGCATATTACAATTTACTTTCTCACAATTTATTTTAGTACATCTGAGTGGTGAGCAGATAAGTGAAGCATATAGAAATCCAAATAATCATAATCAGAAAAAAATACCACAAGGCATGCAATAGCAAGATTCCAGAAATTTAGTCTAAGAACAGAATATTAAAAATTGTGAGAGAAAAGAAATAAATCACCTATAATGGAAAACCCATAACAATTACGATAGACTTCTCAACACAAACCTTAAAGTCAAAGAGAACTTGGAATGAGGTATTTCAAACCCTGAAAGAATACAACCTCCCACCCAGATTGATATTCCCCACAAAATTATCTTTCAAAATTGATGGAGAAATAAGATACTTCCATGATAAAGAGCATGTGAAGGAATTTATGACCACCAAGCAAACATTCTGAAAATTTCTCAAGCATATCCTAGAAAGAAATAATAAATAGAACAATCAATCTTATGTTGTTCTTCTTTGCTTCACCTGGGAGGTGTTGGATTGATTTTTCATGCTCCCTTGCTGTTTTTAAGATATCATTAAGATAACTTTATTTTTATGACCACTAACTGCAATCCTGTCTTCTAGATCTGAAAGTCCACCTTTGCCTTCCTTCAGTCTATTGCATATACTTTCATTGGAATTTTTAATTTGGACTTCTGTTTGGGTAGTTTCATGGCTTCCATTTTTTTTCTATGTTGGGTATTCATGGTTTCCATTGTTTTCCTAAGCTCCTCTACTTTTTTTGTGTGTCTAGATTCATTAGGCATATTTCCCATTTTGATCTCCATTTCTTTTTTTACCAGGGAGATTATTTTTTCTATAGCCATATCGATTTGTTTTTTCTACTTCTGCTGCTGCACATTGATCAGAGTCAGTGAGAAAGCTGGGGATAGTGTAAAAGCCATTAAAAACTTCTTTGCAGAAGTAATGGCAGAAAACTTCCTAAACATATTCAAAAAATTTGACATACAAATAAGAGAGGCATATAGAGCTCCAAATAGCCACGATCTGAACAAATCTACACCAAAGCATATAATGATCAAGATTACAGCACAAAAACAGAATATTAAAAATGGTTAGATAAAGGGAACAAATCATCTATGAAGGAAAACATAAGAGAATTATAGCAGACTTCTCAACACAAATCCTCAAATCTAGGAGAGGTGGGTGGGAAATGTTTCAAGTGCTAAAGGAAACAAATTCTAACCCAGATTGATGCATCCTGCAAAACTATCTTTCAGAATTAATGGAGAAATAAGACACTTCCACTACAAAGAACAACTGAAGAAATTCATGACCACCAAAGGAGCACTCCAAAATGCTCTGAAGGATATTCTAGAGAGAGATAAGGAAGCCCATAATGCCAAGAATACCAATAGAGAGACACCACCAGGCAGAATAAGCAGTTAAATAGAGGGCAAAGGCAGGGTACCAACAATAGGAAAAGTAATATATGAAGGATAAGCTAATACCTACCAGTTATAACCAACAATGTAAATGATCTAAATTCACCAATCAAAAGAAATGGCCTGGCAGGATGGATGAAGAAGCAAGATCCAACAATATTCTGCATTCAAGAAACACACTTAACTAAAAAAGAAAAGCTGGGGACCCCAAATTATAAGTTGACATAAAATCTTTCTGAGAACATTCTTGTCCTGCCTTGTGGGCTGTTTTTTTGTTTGTTTGTTTGTTTGGGGTTTTTTTGTTTTTGTGTTTTTCTGGTACTGGGAATCAAACTCATGACCTTGCGCTTGCCAGGCAGGCACTGTGCTGCTGAGCTAAACCCCCAGCCCCTGTGGGCTGGTTTTGGAATGTGGAAATTTTGCTTCCTCTCAGTCACCTCTGAGATCTTGATAGTCAGTGAGGCTTAAAGCTCACAGAGCAAGATGAAGCCACTGAAAACAATACAGGGAAAACTAGTATCCGTGTATGGGGAAGAATCTTAACTTTTTTCCTTTATGATGTTAAATATGCCCATTCTATCACTACGTCTATGCTGTTCCCCTTTGTCTGCACTGCCTAATAAAATGGTAGCTAGCAGAAGACTCTTGGTCTTTGCTCCCAGAGCACGTTGATCATTCCAGAGCCCTATTTTCTCACAGTTTTTGTCTATTTTTCTTTTTCTTTCTCAGGATGCACCATAGTTCTGGCAGGAGACTGGGAATCATTGCAGGGGTTCCTGATAACTGGTGCCATGGAAAGGGTAGCTATTCTACTTGCAGACAATGTGAACTTTAAAACTGCCTGATCAAAAGAGACAAGGTCACTGTATACTTGTTACAGGAAAATTCCAAGGAAAAGAGATAACAATCATAAATACACATGCACCAAATACCAGTGCACCTAAATACATAAAACAACTATTAATGTGATAGGAAACTAACAATGGTTGTTGTATTACCTACTGGTATCCTCAAGTTGGATACTCATATAAACAAATATAGACATGTAAGATTGATCAAACACTTAAACATTAACTGTTCCATTCAACAGAGCAATAAAAGTCAGTAGTACAACTATGTTAGATATCCTGTGTATACATACAGACATATTTCCCCCTTCTTTTCTCTTTTCCTTCATCCCAGTTGTTCTATCACCTTGTCTGAAAATATGTATTGCTTGTATTATTTCTGTGTTATTCCTAAATGTATGTGTGTTTGGTAATATGTTTTTGATCTTTTATCTTTAAAATAAAAAACCAAATATTAATGGACATGAAAAAATCAAATAAGCACTAACATAATTGCAGTGAGGGACCTCAATATCCCACTGTCACAAATAGGTCCACTAGACAAAATATCAACAAAGTTATCAGAACTAAACCAAACCTGTGTATAAATGACTCAGTAGTTGTGTACAGAATGTTTCACCTCACATCATAAAACACATTCTTCTCATCTCCACATGGGATGTTCTCAAAAATGAACCACATATGAGCCCATAGAACATGCTTAAATAAGTTAAAAGCAATTGAAGTTATGCCATGCATATTATCTAACCATAGTGCAATGAAATTGGAAATGAGTGGCAAAAGAAACCACAAAAAATACATTAACACCTGGAAGTTAAACAACACTGTCCTAAATAACTAATGGGTCACAGAGAAAATTAAGAGATTAAGTAGCATCTACAATTAAATGATAATGCTGACACAATATACTGAATTGATGGGATGCAAGGAAATTTCCTAATAGGGAAATTTATAGCAGTGAATTCTCATATCAGGAAAAGAGAATGCATCAAATAAACAACCTAATGTTGAATCTCAAACTTCTAGAAAAAGAACATATCAAACCCAAAGCTTGTATGATGGAGGAAATTATAAAAATAAGAATAAATTAATGCTATCAAGACTAAGGAAGCAATACAAAGATTCAATGAATTGAAGAGTCAGTTCTTTGAAATACTAAATAAAATTTATAAATTT